CCATCTCATTCTCTGTATTAAAGAAGAGACGGCCCATCTAGACTGTTATCAGCACACAGCTCTACAGCCTATCTATATATTGCAGTGATGGTGCCTTTTCAGATGTGTGAGCTTCCCACGCCTTAGAAACGATTGCACCTCCATACCATCAGAGAGGCAGGCTGTAGAGCTGTGTGCTGATAACAGTCTAGATGGGCCCTCTCTTCTTTAATACAGAGAATGAGATGGTCATGGTTTCCAAAAACGATCTTCAAATGTCTTATTGTCTGACCACAGAAATATTACACTTTTCCTCGGTCCATTTTAAAGGTGCTCTGGTGAAGAGCAGACAGCATTGTGTTCATATAAAGCTTCTTCTTTGCAGGATAGAGCTTTAGTCAGCATTTTTGGATGGCACAGTGAACTGAATCGACATTGATTTGTAGAAGTGTTCCTGAGCCCGTATCGTGATGTCCAGATCAGGATCAGACCTGGTTTTATTGCAGTTCTGCCTGAAGCTCTGAAGATTGTAAGCTCCAATACTGACTACTTTAACCTTGTCCTTTGCACATATAGATTAGACTTTTAAAGAAAAAAAAGTTAATGATATTATGAACTATGGAGAAAAGGTGAAAAGGCCAGACTTCAGGGGTATCTGAGGCAGGCTTGAAACACAAGAGTCAGGGTGGCTTCTGGGTAATACCAGATGGCTAGGCCTCAGACTGACGAAGCCTCTTGGATGAGGGGCGAAACGTTTCTTTTTAACAAAAAAAAAACGAAGTCCAGATGACATGATTCAACCTTTTTTGTTGTTATATACCTGGATGACTGAGAAAACAAACTTTGTGATATTATGAACTGTTCATGATGAGCTATTCCAAGTCTTTCTATTTTTATTGAGGTACTTTATTCTGAAAATGTTTGAGAATTTCAACCTCCTTTAAAATGCTCTTTTTTTAATGCTCAATCTTCTTATTGGCTTTTTGCCAGTTAAGCTAATTTATTTCAAAATGCTTTTCCATCTATTGTTTTTTTATTCTTAACACTTTTCACAGCTTTTTTTGTTTGTTGTTGTTGTCTTTTTTTAAGATATATCGCTGCCATAAATTTTAAATTACCTTCTTTCTTTTTTTTCTGGAATGATACAATGTCTTAGCTTAAACATTTGATATGTTTAATATGTTAAAATTGCCTATACATTATGATTTATGAGATTTGCAAATCATTTCATTCTGTTTTTATTTATACTTTAAATGATGTCCCTATTTTTTCAGAACTGGGCTTGTCCGTACAATGACGGCACACGACACTTCTCATCCAAACTGGTTGATCTTGAACATTTATACTAGGAAGAATAAAATCTTACTTTTTCGTTTAGTTTCAAATGAATTCGTACATCACTTTATAAACCTGTTGTTGTTTTGTCATTGTGACAAAGTTTGAGTTGAATGAAAATATTAATATACCTTAAATGGGTATATGAACACAACAGCACCTCAAAACATTTAGACACCAAAAATGTATATATAGATTATCGTAATAGTTTTCATTCATAAGTTTATATAAAACAAGAATTACATGGTAAAGTTCCATTGCTTTATAAAGTAAAGTAGTCCCTCGTTTATTGCGGGGGATCCGTACCCTGAAGCTCCAAAATAAGTGAAAAACCCCGAAGTAGGAATAGTAGTACCAGTAGTTTTTTTTTAGTATACTAAAGTATTCTAAACAATGTTTCTAAACGCTCTAATGGAGCACAGAATGTCATGATTTCACTCTCTCAGCCACCTGCAAGCGTTCTTGGCTACACCCACTTCTCCGTTCTGCACAAGAACAGCTGCAGCAGGAAGTTTATAGGTGCTAAATAATTTAAAATAATTTATTTTATATAAAAATTCCATGCAGATCCTGCGGCTCATCCATCAATCATGTGTCAGTCCAATCTTATTTTGGAAAAACGCGATAGAGCGAGTCTTCGATAAATGCACCGCGAAGTAGCGAGGGACGACTGTACTTACAATATGATGGGGTGCTTCACAGTCAAAATATCATTGTGAGCACTGTCAGTATCAAAAGGACTGAAATTAATCTCAGGTACAGACTGTATGCCACTATTATATTTGACTATCAAATAGAAGTTTCACAGCTGGATTGTAGTGGTCAAAATGCTGAAGCCCAAGTGTTGTGTTGTCAAGTACAAGAATACAAATATAAGAGAGAAATTAAAGAAATGTGGGTTTATTGCAGCTGACCTTGTCATTGCAGTAAAAGTAAGTACTTTTCTTTCAGCTGCTCGCTTCTTCTTGCCACAGTGAGCAAACTTGCACAAAAGATTTGGCAACTATTTTCTGCCGGATGCCCTTTCTGACACAACCTGGGCTGGAACCCACAACCTCAGGATTAGAAGACACTGTCACTGCAATATTCAGTTATAATATCACAATCCTCAGTTGTGCAGCCTTGTCATGATGGCATCTTGTCCGTCTGCTACAAGCCTGGAAGATCCCAAAGCAGCACAAAAACACATTCACAGCATTAATAAAGTGGGATTTAGAAGTCTTCATGGGTATTGTTTAAAACCAGTCAAACACTGAAAGCTCCCTTTTTTTTCTATTCTCATGTTCAAGATGAAAATTATTCCACTGTGCTCGTTTAAAGTGTTAAAAAAAAAAGATTGGCTTTGTCCCTAGCAACTTTTAAGCTGATAGAAATTATGCTAATTTGAGTAGGAGTGTGAATTTTTCTGTACCTGTGGTATTGACCCAAGGTCGAACCTATTAAAATGCAAATCTAACAAAGTAAAAAAATTGTCTGAAAAATGGAGAAAGCCTAACAGAGAGGGGTTCCCTGCGCTCTCTCAGCTCAAAGGGAAATGCCTGGTCGACTTGCACATTACTGTTTGAATTTGTAGCTCTTGGCATGGCTGTTGTGTGTGTGTGTGTGTGTGTGTGTGTGTGTGTGTGTGTGTGTGTGTGCTGAGCCCTCTGATGCAATGTGTTGCAGTGAAAACAAAACCTGAATTTACCAGTTGTGTGTCTGTTTGCATCCTCTGCTCTCTCTTTCTTTTGTATATAAAAAATGAAGTTAATATTGACAGAGTCCATTTTTAGAGTGCGCATGCTGGCGAGGGAACAGGACTGACCTACATGTATAAATATCCCTAAAGACACACTGAGTATTGAGGCATCATTTTTAAGAAAGCTGTCATGAGTCTGTGTAAAGAACTGTGTATAATAAAGATATGTTTGTCCTCAGGTTCCATCTATGAACCTATGAAACTGGCTAATCTCGAGCATGATGATGAACCCCTGTGGGAGAAGCTGGACCATTACTATAATGCTGGTAAGTGTACTCTCCCACTGTCTGAATGTTTATGAAGCATTCACTCTATTGGGATCCATTTTTCTTTCGTACATATTTCAGCATCTTTCTCGTTCCACAATTTTTGTGCTATTTCAACAAATTATATATGAAAATGTTCAGAAGGGAGCTGTGACTTTTGGTCTTGGTGTAACTTTAGCTTTTTGAAATATTTAGCCTTTTCTGCTATTTTTTTCTCATAGAAAATGAATTGAGCTCATTTTACATTCTTCAAATCTTTAGAGATGTTTACAGCCTTTCACTGCTCCTTTCAAATTTTGTTCTGCTTCAGCTTCTTTCAGCTTCCTTGGGCAAATTTAAACTTTTTTCAGCTACTTTCAGCAAATTTCAGCTGTTTTTTTCAGTTGTTTTGTGCTCCGTTCCAATTCTTTCTGGTAACTACATTTTTGTGCTTCTTCTAACCTTTCTGCTAATTTCAACTTATAATGCTCCTTTCATCTGATTCTTGCACGTTTCAGCTTTTTCTGCTATTTCAGCTTGTTATGCTCCTTTTAGCTTATTTATGCAAGTTTCAGCTTTTTCTGTTATTTCAGCTACTACTTTGCTGTTTTTTATGCAAATTTGAACTTTTTCAGCTTATTCCAGATTTTTTTACACTCATTTAAACTTTTTTCAGCCTAATTCAGCTAAAATGTGCTCTGTCAACGTCCTTCTGGTAATTTAAGCTTCTTTCTGCTTTTTTGCTGCTTTTCATCTGTTTTTTTTTTTGTTTTTTTGGTAGCAAATTTCAGCTTTTTTCCAGGTAATTTCCACTTTTTGTGCTCATTTCTGCTTCTTTAGGCCAAATTTTGCAAATGTGTCTTCTTTCTGCTTGCTTATGCTAATTTAAGCTTGTTCTACCTTATCAGCTAGCTTTTTATCATTTTTAGCTAATTGCAGCTTTTTTCAGATAAATTCTAGTTTTTCATAGTAATTTCTGCTACTTTCAACCTAATTAACTTATTTCTGCTCATTTCAGCTTGTCCTTTCAGCTTTTTCAGCTCTTCAGCTACTATTTAGCTCTTTTGATATTAATTTTAGCTTTTTTCAGCTAATACATTTTTGAGCTCATTCCAGCTCTTTCTACTTCCTTCTCATTGTTTAAACTTCTTTTTGCCTTTTTCAGCTACTTTTCATCTATTTTTTGCTAATTTCAGAATTTTTTCATTAATTTCCTAATGTTCGCACTTATTTCTGCTTATTTAAACCTAACTCAGAAATTATGTGTTGTTTTTGCTTTCTTCTGCGAACTTGGGCTTGTTCTTCCCATTCAGCTACATTTCAGCATTTTATAAGCTAATTTAAGCTGTTTTTCATCAACTTCTTCTGCAATAAGCATTCACACTGCATTTTTGCAGGAAATGCTATTTCTCTAGTTATAACTTACATGACTAGCATTTTTTTTAATCAAATTGCATATCATCCAAAAGCCTTTCTTGACAGAGTTTTGGACTAAAATCGTTTAAGGTTGAGAAATGAAAGAGTTTCAGCCCTTTTTGATAAAACTTTGAAAAGAGTATATGTTGTGAATGACTCTCAGCTTCTCCAATCTTAGCTCAATATCTTTTAGATTGACTTGCAGTTATCACTTAAAGTACATGTTGAAAATCAATGTCGGTAGCGACAGCAAATTTCAGCTCGATGTATATAAAAATTACTGAGTTACATCCATTTATGTGTTAGTTTATTTAGTAGTTTATGAGCTGTGGCAGCTAATAAACCCTAGAGTTGTATATTTCACCCTATGGATCAACTATGATTAGTTTTCTGACCAATGCACACACTTTTTGGGTGTTGTTTCTTTGACATTTGGTTCTTTAAGTCAGTCAGTCATCAATATGTCTGGACAGAGGAGATTTGGACACATCTGTCCTTTGTTTTAGTATGCGTGGAGCCTTAATCACACAAACATTACTTTTCTTTTTACAAACTGTATATGTGAATATGTACAGAGCGCATGAATGAAACAATTTGTAAAGGTTGTCTCATATAACCATTCTGAAGACACGGATGAGGCTAGAAGTTCCTAAGAGCTCAGGAAGGACAAACTTGATGATGGATAGCTGGTGGAGCTCTGCACAGGTGATAATTCTTGGATATGCAATCAGTAAAGGAGGCCACAGCTTCACAGCAGGAGAGATAAATACACATTAGCACTGATTGCTGAATTACCAGCAGCTGTGAGTGCAGCACTGTGACAGTGGCAGTACCTCCCACACACACACACACACACACACACACACACACACTGCTACATGTGAGTTCTTCATTTCTGTGCTTGCTTCGATTGCCTCTTTGGATTTAGACTAATCCACTTGGCTGTAAGAGTTAAAATTAAAGTCTAAAACAAGTTTATTGTGAAAGGTTAGTGTCTGCACAGCTTTCAGTGCAAGTCATAAAGTAAAACATCAGACTTTACGACATTATGAAACACGCTTTAATACCGGGTGCTCTGGAGCTGGTTATGAGTTTAACCTCTGTTACCATGGAGATCTAGCTGGACTCAAAGTGACCCTTTGGTGATACTGAAAACTGACTTGAAGATTAATGTGACTGGCTAAGCTGGAGATCTTTCATCATGGCACATCCTTTTCCAACACACAAACTGATTGCTACTGCTGATCTTTGTGTTTCCATATGTGTCTGAGGGGTGGGAATGCCTCTTGGAGAGTGAACTGTGTTGGGAAGAACTTAAGCTGGTTTCTTTAATGATAAACTGGATCCACATGCAGCTGTGGCCAAGTGGTTAGAGCAGTCGTCTTCCAATGGGAGAGTAGGGGGTTCAATTCCACCAGCAGTCACATGCTGAAATGTCTCTGGACAAGACACTGAACCCCTCATTGCCTCTGATGTGTGTCCCATCAGTCTGTGAATGTGATCTAACACACTGATTAGTTTCTACAGATTCAGATTAAGTTTGTATAGATCTAGTAGAGTGCTGTATGAATGGGTAAATGAGGGCACAGATTGTAGTGTAAAGAGCTTTGAGTATCTGGATTTGATAGTAAGGTGCTATATAAGTACAGTCAATTTACCATTTACATGGTTAAACATGGCGCTTCATTGAAAAGACCAGAGTTCACTCTCAGGTTTAGGTGGTGACCATCAGCATTGGCCCTGATGGTCGGTGCTGATGCAGAAGCTGGACTTCTCAAAGTAACTTTTATTTTTTGTTAAAAAGTGAAAAGTTCACTGTACAGTACACAACAAGGCAACCCACTTTTTGATGGATTATTAGGTAATTTAATCATCCATCCTTTATTTTGCTTTACCATTTGTTCCTGTTTAGAAGCATAGCGAACTGGTGCCTGTTTCCATCCATCATTGGGTGAGGCTGGATAGACCCTGGGCAGGTTGCCAGCCTATTGCAGGATCACTGAGATGAACAAGATGGGCATAGCCAAGGACTATTAGGCATCACCAGTTAACACACACATGCTTTTGACTTGTGAAAAAACAGGACAACACCAACCTCCCCTACAAAAGGACATGTGGGGAGAACATGAAAACTTTTTACATGTCCCACCCAAAAGCCATGCCTGTGATCATGCTACTCTGAGGTGACAGTACCAACCTACAACTGTACAATGCAGATAGTTCATTTTAATTTCAAGTGATTTTGTTTCGTCAAAGAAAACCCAAAAGAAACGCTGTACAATTTATATATTTTTTTCAGCTGACTCGAGTTTGTCTTTGAGGGTAAATATTGAATGGCCTCACTTGTGTCTGTAGCTATTTTCTAAATGCATCAATTACCACGATTTTCCAAGAGTTAATTTAAAGAAGAGCTTTGCTGGGCCCTGGGGATGCAGTACAGTGACAAACTAATGGGCAGTTTCCATTAAAAGATCCAAGAAGCACTATTTTCTCTTACTGTTGTTCCACCAATCTTGCCTGCAAATGTTTCAAGGCACAATTTCATTATTTACAACTACATAAATTCTGTTTTGTTAGCTTCAGTTGCTGTTTTCCCCTTTTACCCATAGCATGCATTTATTTGGTTAATGGCAATTGATTGATCAGTAGTTTTAAATTAGGGTTGACAACCCTAAATAAGTTAGTCATTCAATATGAGATATTTAAATGAGCAATTGAGTAAAAAATACAGTAGCATATTGCTATTGATGTTACTAGTGGCAGACTAAAAGTGATGATTGAGGTAATTAAAAATCTATGATGGAGAGGTTGCAAACAAAATGTACAGAAAGCAAGAGGTAATAAATTACAGTCCCATTCAAAAAATGGGGAGCAGTTCTGAGAAAATTTGCAAAAAGGAAAAGATGGAAGCAGCAACACGGACATTGAGGGTGCTGTTTTGATAGCATGGGAAGTGGAAATCATAAAGAAAATAGTCCAGTAGAAATAGCCAGCGTTCACTGTGAGTAGATGATGTTCTTTACATAACAAACTTCAAAGACAGGACACCAGTGTGTCGAATAAACTCATGTTTGTTATTAAAGAGATTGTTTCTGTGCTAGCTGATGTTTGCGATATTGAACTCGGTGTATGTTTAGTACTGAATAAAGTCCAACTAAGTCTGTGACATAGCATAAAGAACCACAAAAACAAATCACAGCGTATTGTGAGTACCGTATTTTCCACCGTAGACGTCGTGCCGCCCTATAAGTCGCATCAGTCCAAATATGTCTAATAAAGTGGAAAAATCCATAAATATGTCGCTTCGCCGTATGCTTCGCCGTATGCTTCGCCGTATGCGTCACCGCTGACGCGTCGCGTTTGTTACGTGTCGCCCCTCACAGCCGGGAAATGTGGGACGATGTTGTGCCAAAAATAGATGGGCTGCCAAATGGCGGCCACGGGAGCACGCACGGGAGGACTTTAACAAGAATTTAAGATTAACACTTAAAAACAATTATTTGTTTGCTCAAAATTATAGTAAAGGTGTGTCTCAGTCTAACTTTTTCTTAATAAATGTACTTTGATGGTCAAATCAGCTGTATTTAAAAACCCGATTCGCGGAA